TAATAATAATAATAATAATAATAATAATAATAATAATAATAATAATAATAATAATAATAATAATAATAATAATAATAATAATAATAATAATAATAATAATAATAATAATAATAATAATAATAATAATAATAATAATAATAATAATAATAATAATAATAATAATAATAATAATAATAATAATAATAATAATAATAATAATAATAATAATAATAATAATAATAATAATAATAATAATAATAATAATAATAATAATAATAATAATAATAATAATAATAATAATAATAATAATAATAATAATAATAATAATAATAATAATAATAATAATAATAATAATAATAATAATAATAATAATAATAATAATAATAATAATAATAATAATAATAATAATAATAATAATAATAATAATAATAATAATAATAATAATAATAATAATAATAATAATAATAATAATAATAATAATAATAATAATAATAATAATAATAATAATAATAATAATAATAATAATAATAATAATAATAATAATAATAATAATAATAATAATAATAATAATAATAATAATAATAATAATAATAATAATAATAATAATAATAATAATAATAATAATAATAATAATAATAATAATAATAATAATAATAATAATAATAATAATAATAATAATAATAATAATAATAATAATAATAATAATAATAATAATAATAATAATAATAATAATAATAATAATAATAATAATAATAATAATAATAATAATAATAATAATAATAATAATAATAATAATAATAATAATAATAATAATAATAATAATAATAATAATAATAATAATAATAATAATAATAATAATAATAATAATAATAATAATAATAATAATAATAATAATAATAATAATAATAATAATAATAATAATAATAATAATAATAATAATAATAATAATAATAATAATAATAATAATAATAATAATAATAATAATAATAATAATAATAATAATAATAATAATAATAATAATAATAATAATAATAATAATAATAATAATAATAATAATAATAATAATAATAATAATAATAATAATAATAATAATAATAATAATAATAATAATAATAATAATAATAATAATAATAATAATAATAATAATAATAATAATAATAATAATAATAATAATAATAATAATAATAATAATAATAATAATAATAATAATAATAATAATAATAATAATAATAATAATAATAATAATAATAATAATAATAATAATAATAATAATAATAATAATAATAATAATAATAATAATAATAATAATAATAATAATAATAATAATAATAATAATAATAATAATAATAATAATAATAATAATAATAATAATAATAATAATAATAATAATAATAATAATAATAATAATAATAATAATAATAATAATAATAATAATAATAATAATAATAATAATAATAATAATAATAATAATAATAATAATAATAATAATAATAATAATAATAATAATAATAATAATAATAATAATAATAATAATAATAATAATAATAATAATAATAATAATAATAATAATAATAATAATAATAATAATAATAATAATAATAATAATAATAATAATAATAATAATAATAATAATAATAATAATAATAATAATAATAATAATAATAATAATAATAATAATAATAATAATAATAATAATAATAATAATAATAATAATAATAATAATAATAATAATAATAATAATAATAATAATAATAATAATAATAATAATAATAATAATAATAATAATAATAATAATAATAATAATAATAATAATAATAATAATAATAATAATAATAATAATAATAATAATAATAATAATAATAATAATAATAATAATAATAATAATAATAATAATAATAATAATAATAATAATAATAATAATAATAATAATAATAATAATAATAATAATAATAATAATAATAATAATAATAATAATAATAATAATAATAATAATAATACTTGCATGTACAGCAAATACCTTAATCCTTTCCTAAACTCACTGGAACCCAGTTATTGTCCAAATTGTAAATTAGGAGAAAAAAATTACTGATATAGCTGTAGTGACAAGCCTTTACATTTCTCAGTACTCCCAAGAAAGATTGATAAGCCTTTAAAACTTAGATTTTGGGAAGACAAGAGCTTGGTCTGATTCATAATCAGAAAGTAATGCAAAGGTCTATTAACTATCTTGCTTGTAAAGATGTGGCCTTTTTCAGGAGAGCCAAAAGAATAGGCAATAATGACTAATGAAGCCTCTATGGTATTCTAAGTTTCGGTAAAACAGACTATTTGAAACGGTGATGATTTGAATGCAGAAAACTTTTACAGTATGCCTGCTCAATCGACTACTTGTTCATATAAAGGGAATGTTGAAATTAATGCTACATTACAAAATTTTATGCATAAAAAAGAAAAGAAATCTATTATAAGAGTTCAAATTATTATTTTGGAAAGGCCAGTCAAAGCTAAGCTATGTTCTGGCGAGAAAGAAGAAAAGTTCAGTGAAAGGTAAGGGGAGGTATTGCTGGGAAGGCCAGTCAAAACTAAGCTATGTTCTGGCGAGAAAGAAGAAAAAAGTTCAGTGAAAGGTAAGGGGAGGTATTGCTGAACATTATGTATAAGGCATTTGTTGCAACCAATTTTTCCCTTCATTACTGATTACAATATCAAAACAAGCCTGGTTTGTTTTTGTTCCCACTTGTAGTTTGTCTTGCAATTTTACATCTTTTACCCTTAACATTAACCTCTTGGGTCCTTTAATACCTGTGCCTAGGCCAAAATCTTGACACAAGGCTTGCTTTAGTGACATCTCTTTGGTGTGGTGGTTGTAGGTATAGCTTGTGTTTTTTCAATACTCCTTGTCTCCTCTTTACAATACTGTTGGCCCTTTCTCTGCAGAGGAGTTTTTCCATTTTGCTCCTTGCCAAGTTAACCCCTTGCCGCCGGGTGACGGCGATACGCGTGTAAACAAATCGCTCGAAAGGTGGCGTGCGGCCAAACCAGCCGGCAGCGCGCCAAAGCGCGGCGAGCCAGTGATTCGGGCTGACGCCCCGTACTCCGGCGCTCAAAGACGGCGCGCTGCCTTTGTTTGCCAGAGCGTAGAGTTTTATTTTCCTTTTGTACACCCGGCGTCATTGGGTTAATTAGTCATAATTATACATCTGTCAATTTTATTTCAGACTGTCATTTCATAATTTCCCGGTGTATGTAATAATGAAAAAAGATCACAGAAAGCACCGCATAGTCAAAATCCATTTAATACTTTTACTGTGTATACTGAGGTGAAGACTATTTCCTGGGGGGTGTTGAGGGGCAAAGCATCCTATCGTCCCCCCTTCAAGAAATGCCCAAAGGGCACACTGTCAGGGCAACTTGAATTGTTGAACAAATTTTTATACTGACAACCAACTGGGATCTAATGTGAAGAGACTCTTCAGGGATATTGCCAAGATAACTTGTTCTCTGCAAGGCAAGGGGAAGCAAGGCTTGGTATCCTGCCAAACACTGTCCATGTATATCCCTTCATATGTAATAACTAGTCTTTACTTTATAGACACTAAGCATTGGGTAAACTGAAGAGATACGAAATCCAAAACAAGGGTATCATGCAAACCCAAAAACCCAAACCTAACCTTTCCCAACTTCTATTTGTGCCCCATTTTTGTTAGCCTTAGTGCCAACTAACAAAGAAGCAACTTTAACAACTCTGGCTATGCGAGGGTGGTGTGGACTTTAAGCAAAAATTTCAAACATTTCTCAGTATATACAAGGCCAGTGCAGATGTACCTGTGTTGCTTGTGACTATTTCTTATGCTCTAATAGATGGCATTGTATTTCCCTCTATCTGTGTCACACTCAGTAACACTAATAGTTTACAACTGGACCACATCTATAAGAGTCCCTAACACAAACTAACATGAATCCCCACATTAACCCAATGGTGATGGGTGAAGAAAAAATACTACGCTCAGGCAATTAACCCAATGGCGCCGGGTGTACAAA